ACATGAAGTTTCCATTCTTAAGTTTCTTGAGGAATTTCCATACTTATAGAGTGGTTACATTAATTTTCAGTCCTGTGAACAATGTCTGAGTGTAACTTGTCCCCCACATCCTTTTTGGAGGCAAAATAATCTTTATGATTTTGATTAAAATGTGCGGGATACACAAGGCTTGAAACCATTCATCTCAGATCTTCTCTACATGCTGTGTCCTATTTTAAGACCCGCACTAAATCTAAGTCACTCAAGTAATTTACCTCTTAAAAAGTGTGTTGCCTGGAAAAAAAAGGAACATTATATCCAGAATCATCATATCTGAATGAGAATGTTTATGATTTCCTGCACTCTACTTGTCAAACCCTTATTAAAGATATTGATCATTATTAAATGTGACTGTATGGGTGGCGAATTTTATGCATTCTTTTGAATAGATGAAAGGATACACAGAGAGCCAGTAAGGCCTTTTCTCTCTGTGTGTGGGGAGTTATTTCTGAAAGAGAATACAAGTTGAGGCAGTAGACTAAGTAAAGAAGATCGACCACCATCAGTGTGGAAGGTCATTATCGGATCCCTTGAGTGCTCACCTGAATAGAAATGATATTAGAGAATCTGTTACTTCTTGGTCCTTCTAGAGCAGTCCCCTTCATGTCGTCAACGCAAAGGGTCAGTGTTGTATATTATGGAAGGGAAAGGTACTCAAGATTCTAGAGGACTAGATGATCACAAAGTTCTGAGGAGATGATGTCGTCTTCAGGCAGGACACGGAAGGTGGATTTCTGGCCTTGACAACCAAAAGCCTTGGTCTATAAACATGCTCAAGTCTGGGAACTGCCTGACAGCTTGAGGCTGTGGTTCTGTGATTCAGTTAGATTTTGTTCACCTGACTTCGAATTTTTCTCTATGCGTATCCTAGAAGAATTTATTAAGCTTACTTTCTGCTTAACACCTGGGAACACCAGAATGGTCTTGTCAATATGATACAATCACGTCCGTCAGTATTCTAACTGCCGTTTGAATCTGCTATTCCCCAAAATAACAACACCCACATTCCATCTGGCAATTGAATGCTGGTGGTTGACCCCTGCCTCGTTGGGATCCAGTGACTCTCATTATTTTAAATTTTCCCAAATCAGTGGCCTGAGCTCTCATTTTAAGATGTAGTCTTTAGAGAAGTGTGATCACACAGCTTTTCAAAGATGCTTGGACTCCTCTCAAAAAATCCTTTATTCTCATAGCCATGGTAAAAGCTATGTTTTTTTTTTTTTCTCACCATCCTACAGTGAGTATGCAGTAAAATAGTAAATCCAAGTTATTCAAGGTTTATAATTTCTTCTACATTAAATAAAAGTCTTTGGGTAATTCTACTTCAAATATTAATGATCACCTTTGTTCTATGTTTTAGACAACTAAGTTAATTGTTAGACCCATTTCTAACTTCCCAAACACAATATTTAATATGAAATCTCTGGATTGTGGGCCTCTTGTACTTATTTTTTATTAAATATTTTAATTGTGTTTTTCTTTTTTTCCATATTTTTATTGGTGCATTATAATTCTACATAAAGGTGGGATTCTTTGTTACACATTTGTAAGTGCACATGATATAACAATATACAACTTATTTTGATTGAATCAGCTTTCTCTTCCTTCCATAATTCCACATCCTCAGTATCTATTCCCACATATATGCTTAAGATTTCTTTCTGTATAAAGTAGAAACGTAAGTAATTCCTTTGGAGATTAGCACATCTCTTCAGAGATCACAAACTGTTTAGAGGCCTTCTGGGACTTGAGTTTAGTTAGTAATCAGAAGGAAAGAGCAATGGGGTAGGTCCTGAAAAGAACCATCCTTGTCTTGCACAGCTACTGCATAAGGGTAGGCCATTAAGCTTTCCTTGGGTGATATAGAGTTCCACTGAACTTTCATTGAGCCGTGTAAACTTAATCAATCAGCTAAGACAGCATGCTGAGCCTGGCTTTACTCTGAGTAGTAAGTCTAATTCTACTTGCAAAAGGACATCATAATTTAATAAATTGATAAAGAAAATGTGATTATATATGTATATATATTATATATATATATTATATATATACATACACACTCACACACACACATTTATACAACAGAGTACTACTCAGCCATTTGAAAGAAAGCAAATATGGCATTTGCTGGTAAATTGATAGAACTGGAGTCTATCATGGTAAGTGAAATAAATGAGACACCAGAAGTCAAAGGTTGAATGTTTTCTGACAACCAAAAGTTAGTCTAAAACAGGAAAGAGAGATGAGGGTGGGGAGAGGTGGAGAGAGAAAGAGAGAGAGAGAGATGGCATTCCATCAAAATAGAAGAAAGATCAGTAGACTAGATGGGGAGGATTGAGAGGGAGGAACAAGGGACAGGATAAGGAAGAACAGTGGAATGGGTTGGACCTAACTTTCTTGTGTGTGTGTGTATGTGTGTGTGTGTGTGTGTGTGTGTGTATTTTTTAGGTCATTTCTGTAGGGTTAAACATGTGTGTGTACACACACACACACACACACACACACACAGTGAATCTCAACATCCTGTATATCCACAAGACACAAATTAAAAAAAAAAACAACAACAATTAGTAAATAGGAGAAAGTTTAGTAGAGTGGAGGTAAGGGAACAGGGGAGAGAGGAAGGGAAGAATGGGGAAGTGCTGGGAACTGAATTAGAGCAAGTTATATTTCATACTTTTATATTATGTCAAAATAAATCATAATGTTATATATAAATAGACAAATAATTAATGAAATATATATTAAAAAAGACATCAGAGTTTAAGGGATCAATGTCTCCAGGTTCATCGGGGCTGTCCTCATGTCTACATTCCAACTTCCAGGATCGTATACCTTCACAAGCAATGACCTAATGTACCCTGCACACACTACTATGCTAGGAGTTCAATTTGTATCTTAATCATCCACTTACAAGACTGGGCTGTCTTAGTAGTTTCAATATGTAGCTACAGAAGAAAAGGATCTCTTTCAGGACAAAAAACAGAAGATTTTAGGTCATTTCTTTAGCGTTAAACATCAGAATTCAACCCTCTGAGTTCATGTTCCCCCACCCAATTTTCTCCAGCAATATTAGGAGTAATCTGTACTTTTATTTTATTCCTTAGTTTGACAAAAATATTCAAAAGTATCACAAGCGTGGTGTCTTTGACAAGTATTTTTTTAAGGAATAGAAACTTATTACTCAACAGTCCTTAAGGACAGAAGTACTAGATCAAGCTGCCAGGGATTTGGTGTCTGGGATGTCCTATTCCTCGTAAGGCACCTTCTTGCTATAATTTCACCTGATGGGGTGGCAGGAGGGTAATGCTGTTGCATTCCTTCATTAGAACTGGAGAATCTGCCTCATTATGTAACGGAAGCGAGGAAGGGGAAAAGGCCTAACACTGACTGAAATGGAGATCATTTTGTGAAGTGAAATAAGCCAGTCTAGAATTACAGTTACTGAATGACCTTGATCATATGTGGAATCTTGAAAAGCTGATCTCTTAGAAGGTAAGAACTGAATAGTGGTTACCAGAGGCTAGAGCGGGTAGGGGTGCTGGAATGGGTAAAGTTGATCATTTGGTATTAATGGACTGTTAAATAGGGGCAAGAGTTTTGTGTGCCATTGCACAGTAGGGTGACAATAGCTAACAGTTATTCACTGTATAATCTAAAAATCCAGAAGAAAGGATTTTTAGGGGTTTCACCATGAGTAAATATGGGAATTTGAGGAAGCATACTTGTTTAACCTGATTTGAGCATTAGACATGTATACATGTATGGAGAAATGACATGGAAACGAATCATTTCATATGATTTTTAGCTTTCCATTTATTAGTTAAAATAAGGGGGATAGTAGAGGATAGGAAAGGCAGCAGAATACAACATACACTAGTATGGCAATATGTAAAAAAGTGGATGTGTAACCGATGTGAATCTGCAATTTGTATACGGGGTAAAAATGGGAGTTCATAATTCGCGTGAATCAAATGTATGAAATATGATATGTCAAGAGCTTTGTAATGTTTTGAACAACTAATAATAAAATAAAATAAAATAAATTTAAATTAAAAATATAATACCAGCTTAATCTCCATGGGCAGTCTAATTACCTCTTTCTTAGGAAAATAAGATGTAGATCTGGAGATAGTCTCATGAGGAAAACCTCTAGAGATCTCCAAGTCTGTATAATCCTCTCCAGATCTTCATGAAATAGCTTCTGAAATCCCAAAATGACTCAAAATAACATTGTTTTAGGAGGTGTACACTGTACACCTTGCTCCACTGAATGTTGTTCTTTCACCTGGGAGATAATCATTGTTAATACATACAGACCTTCTTCTGACCTGAGGACTTTCTGTGAGCTTTGAACCGTGGGCATTTATATATGCCCAAATATAAATGGCATACTGATCGATTTTTAAATGATAACATCTTCATGAAATATCCTGAATCTCTCATTTATTTACAAACAAGACCTATACATTATGTGTGAGCGAAATATTATCATGTTTACTTTTCATAGAACAAGGAGGTAAGTGATTCTATCCACAGTACAGAAAGAATTCGTGGTATATTTGGAACTGGATCCATGTTAATTATCTTTCCTCCTGTTTTTCTCTGCTTTAGATAACTTGGAACTTGAATGGGACCTCTTATGATAGCACTAATACTCCATGGCTGATTTTGCCATTTCAAAATCACCACTTTGGATGAACTCTTCTTTAACTGCTAGCAAAATGGTAAGCTCTAAAGGTCATAAATGTCAGTGAGAAATTAAGTCATGCAGAAGCAGTGGAATACCCATACATGTGAGTTATCTGACAACAGAAAGAAAAGAAATATCTTCAAAATATTTCTAAAAGATGAGATGAGTCTATGGTACTAATATCAAAATGTCTATCACAGAGTCTTTATTGATTCATGTGATTTGATCATGGTTTGATAAGTAATGACAGAAAAAAGTTTTAATCACAATGGATTCTGTTACCCAAATCAAGGAAGAAAATGTTAATAAGATCAGCCAACATGGAGATGGAAGAGCAGTAATTTTATGCTTAGTTAAGGAGAGACTGAGAAACATTGGAGAACACACACACAAAAAAATCTCCGTGGTCCAAGTGGGAGAGAAAAGGGAAATTGGTAAGAGAGGCTTTGAGACTTCCAAGTCACCCACAAGTAAAGGTGTGCGTGTCAGCATCTACCTTGATAAAAAAAAAATCCAAAAAAATTTTCCACAAAAAACCCCCCAAACCAAATGTGAACCATTATCCCCTCCTAATAATAAAATGATAGCTAGTGCTCATCGAGATGTGCTTTTTAGGGCTGGGATTGTGGCTCAGTGGTAGAGTGCTCACCTAGCACATGCAAGGCCCCGGGCTCGATCCTCAGCACCACATAAAAATAAATAAATAAAGGTATCGTGTCCAACTAAAACTAAAAAATAAATATTTTTTTTAAAAAGATGTGCTTTTTATTTTTCTTTATGTATTATGTTGTTAGCTATCACAATAGTGCTCAAAGTGGGTCTCATTACTGTCTTCATTTTGCAAATGGAAATTTGAAGTTCAGAGGAATTAGTCTAGGACCAATGACTCTTAGCTAGTAAATGGAAGGTTTATCTCTATTTCTAAATCCTGTGTCAGATTATCTGATGATATATACAGAACAAAATTCCATTACCACCTAATCAATTACTCCCACAGTTCAATATGAAACCCCAAACACTAATTGAAATTCACTTTCAACCTTTAGCTTTAGGAACCTCTGAACATGGCTTTAATGCTAGCATGGGTCTAGAACAGAGACTGATAAATAATATTGTGTGGATGTGAATAATTTACCTAATAAATTTGCATGAGTATAACAACCAAACAGACTCATAATGTTGGCAGGAGACAGGAAATGCACACCTAAACGGTCAGGTTGGAAATACAGAAGAATCAGCTTTTATTGAGCTTAGGAGAAATGGATTGGCCCATAAATTCATCCAGAAAAATTAATTTTTTATAAAGTTATTAAATTGTTTACATATCAGTTAACAAATGGATAAAATTTCCAAATAGGGAGTTTAATTACCTATGAGTCCCCAGATTCAAAATATTATTTTCTCTAAATGATGAAAAACACCGAGTTTGGTTTTTAAGCCCATGCTATTTCTGGAGAATGTTAGGGTACAAGTTGCTGCTACAATAGAACAATACATTTTGCACTCAATACTTTCTTATTCAATTCAGTTTCTTTATCGCTCTGTTCCTTTCTTTTCATGATTACAGAACATTTAGAAATTCTTAGGTAACATTGATGGAGAACAGGACAGAAGTGACCCAGTTCATCCTGCTGGGACTGACCAATGACCCAAGCCTGCAGCTTCCCCTCTTTGTGACCTTCCTCCTCATCTACACCATCACTCTGGCTGGGAACCTGGGGATGATCCTGTTGATTCTCCTGGACT